AGCTTTCCCAGGAACGTTCTTCAGACCATCCCTCAGTGAAAATATTATGCAAACTGTGTAGCAACAGTTTTCTTAAGCGTTTCCTACCATCTGTGGAATAGATAGAGGGTTGCTTTCAGTTCAGTTTGCTTTAATGCTACTATTGATGTACAGCTGCCAGAATATATTCTGCATGTGGGGAGTAACTAGTCCCTGATCTGACGATTTTGCAGTTTAAAGCCTGTATCCAAACCCAAAATGATTGCAGCTGAACAGCTCTGTGCATTTACAGGCCAATCGCCCCAAGACCTAGCGTTTTAGTGCCAATTGTACACATGCAATAGCTAGCACAGAAGGACTGGAGAAGACCCCAGAAATCTCGGCTTTCTAGCTGTGAGGAAATGATGAAACCGAGGGCAAGCGTAGCTGTGAAATGCTGCAGTGAAGCATCTGCGCGTCGTGAGCTGAAACCCAGCGACGGATCAGCTGCCGGCTCGATCGTACAGTCATCTCCTTGTGGCTTGTTTCGACTGTTTAACACACGACTCAAGTTCCTCGCCAAAACATCTCAGTTTGCTAATCAGGTTGATTACACATTGCATAAACAATCTAAACTTAAAAATGGCTAAAACTTTAAGCCCTCCTTGTTTTTTTGGCTTTGAGCACTGTTGTTACGCCACTAAAACCGGTGGGTGAGGCAGGCATCAGCCTGAGCTCTCTTTCAACTATAGCACTCACTAAAGCATGCGGACTGTGGAGTAGCTCGCGAAGGGGTTTGAAAGGAAATACAAGCAAACTGGTTAGAAACAACACAAATGAGATGGAGTGCTGTGCTCTAACAGGGCCGGGTGGCAGCGACCCTCAGAACATCTGTGGGTCAGAACTTGCTCTGCTGTGATTCTGAGGCTCGCAGTACTGCTAGCCCCAAACATCCAATGCCGTCAGGCAGCATAATTGTTTCAGTTCCCTTAGATTTTTTTTTTTCTTGTAGTTTAGAAATATGCTTTGGTTCCTCACTTAAGGAGAACAAGTCCCAAGTAATTCAGCGCCTTCAACTCTTGACACTTGCTGTTCAAACTATTTATTCGGGCGCTACTTAACTGTCAAAAGGGAGCTGTTTTTTAAGGAACTGCAGAAGAATAACTCGTATTAAAACGTCTGTCTTGATTTATTGTGTGGAACTATGTCACAGAGAATCGGTAACTCACACAGTACACAAAGGATCTCGTGACAATGCTTGTAACAAAGAGTAGCCTAAACAGGGAACAGTGTAGGCAGATACTTATGCATGAACTGCAGAATGAATAACTTTCAAATGAATCACAAATAGGAAGACTAAATGTGTCATGTTTATTATGTCTGAAATGTAAGCCGCACGTAACGAGCGTATGCATTGTGGAGGATAGCTATGCCTTGGGACAACCATACGTTGGTACCTTTTATTGAACTTCATTCCTTTCTTTTTAGATGAGATGGGTTTTTTCAAGCTCCTTTCTAATTTGCGGTGGCCAAAATTTTTTTGAGCCAGTTTGGATGGACGCTAGTTTACAGCGCTTCCTGTTATTAGGAGGGGCCTAACTGGCCATCGGTGCGGCTGAAAGTGATGCTTGAGCAATGCAGTAGCTTGCTTTGCTTTGCTGTCAGATCTGAGCTGCGCGGTTACTCGCTCTCCAGTGACATACACCAGGTTCAGACCTGTGAGCTATGGGGTTTGTTGCTAATCAACTTCAGCCAAGCCCTGGAGGTGTTTTAGCTCTCACCCTCCTCACCTAACCCTGCTTGTTTTAACAGTGTTTTGATCTGCTGCAGAATAATAAAGCCACAAAGTGCCACCCCTTCATTTACCTTATATTCCTATAGGGAATACCCTGGAATATATTCTGAATTGTTAACAGTCAAATAATCAAGGCCAGTGAAATGACTCCTGAGCACTGGCCTTGTTTATGAATCTTTGGCTTGGGAGCAGTGGTTTTGGGCTGGACTTGGTTCAGAAAAGCTTTTTTGAATGACACTGGTGATCAGCCTTGCACAGACTACTTCACCCTACCCGTGCCCCTCTGCTCTCTATAAGCTGACTTGCTGCTTTTCCTACTGCTTGGCAAAACACAGATGTGTGATCACTTTTAGAGGGCTTTGCCAGCAGCAAAGGTGCCTTAAACCTTTAATTCGTCTCAGCCAGAGGCATGATTGTTTTGAAACGTAATCCTTTGAGCTGTGATTCCAGCCAGTTTGGCTCATAACTGGGCACAGATTGGTGGGAGCCCACTTGGAGGAGGCAACTGGTCTCAGAGGGGAGAACCTGGGACCTCTGAACATGCTGCATTGGCAAAGTGGAGTAAAGAAGGAGGAGGAAAAACATGTTTTTCTCAGAGTTGGCAACTTGACACAAATGCTTCTGAATATAAATGAATTTTGAATTTCGAACCCTTCTGCGAGGCAGGCGCTTTGAGATGCGTATAAAGGAATGCTTGCGTGGTTATCTGTTTAGGAAAGTTCTGCAGTTGCATCAGCTTCAAGCTGTCATGCCACGTAAGAGGGGAGTGCACAAGCACCTATTTACATATTATAAAATTTATGTTGAGCACAGATGATACACAACCTCTTCCCCAGCAACTTTCTCTTCAGAGAAGAGGATTTTTTTTTTTTTTAACAGCAAGGACAGACACCAGGGCTTTGCTCGCCAGTTCTGGTGAACAAACAGCATGTTGTTGTGCCGGGTGATCAGAGTTGTTTCTTGGTGGGAATGTTTCAGGTGTTCCCGACGGAGGGAAGGAAAACCTAGAACTTGGAAATGCCTCATCTGAAAACATAACGTGGTTGGAAGATCTGGTGTGATTCCAGAAGTGAGAACTTGTTACATATTAAGCTTTTGTTCAGTAGACCTTTGTGGAAGTAGTGTAATCTGCTTGTCAGCACTTCCTAGTGTTGGTGCTTTCGGAAACATCGAGCGACAACTTTGAACTATTATGAAAACAGTATTGTTTTTTAAGGCTATAAAAGGCATCGATACTGTTCTTTTTGGCACTGCTTTTCTTTGTCGTTTGTAGTCAATGATCTGACTCCCTGAAAATCTGAAACTATCCCATGTAAACAACTTTATCCCACAAACACTAGCATTGTTCCCCCAGCCACTTCTTACTGGAAAACCGCGGGGAGTCTGGCTTCTTACTTTCCTCCTGTATAGACAAAACCTGGAAAAATCTTGTGTACTTCTAGCCCACGTTGCATAATTCAGGGGAACATTAAGGTGATAGTTCTGTTTTAACAGAACTTGCTGCTGTGCAAAAAGAGCCTGTTGAGTTAGCTGCATCTGCATGCAAATATTTTCAGCCTCAAAATACTGCTGCAGCATTCATTTTCCCTTTCGGCCATACACAATAGCTCACTGTGTAGAATGGCAGATTAGAGATGGCCGTAATTGTGAGAGTATGTAACGCTGTTTCTGAAATGCCCCTGTCAGCTTTGGCAAGCTTGTTTTAGCTTGTTCTTTACCAGTAAGATCTTTAACAGGCTAAACTTTCTGGAAAACTTGAAGTAAAAGGGTGAATCGGAATGACTGCTGGGGAATTCACTATGTCTTGACTTTTCTGACTATTTAAATAGCTCTGGTACCCTGTTGTAAATCTGGATTACATATTATTTGGAAAGGGGACAGTTTTATTACTACCTCCCACCTCAAGTGGTGGAGTTAAATATTCATGAAGCATTTCTCTAAGCTTAAAATTCCTAGCATGAATCTTTGCCAGAAAACATCCAGCCAGTTGCATGCCTTGCAATAAGGTTTCTCAGCTCTGAAACTGCTTGCACATGCATCGCTGCTGTATCGGATGTTCATTCAGCATTAGCTCTCTTAATCAGTGTCTACCACTTCATAGCTTTCTGCAGCATCCAGCTATCTCGCAAACTTTCTCAGCTGAACACATTTGGCTGGGGAAAAGTGCATCAAGTTAACCTATGAGGCTGAGTTCAAATGATGCTGTTGCCACTGACTGCCACTTTGGGCTTTACAGCCCTTCTTGAGCGTGAGATCACTGGTGGTAGGCCAGGTGTATGAATTTAAATTAGGAGGCAGGAAACCATGTTTTAAAGAACTGATTTTCATCTTGTTCTGTAATTTTATGCTTATCATTCTCCTGCTTCAGGAAAACTGCTAATGATTAAAATATTTGTTTGCAAATATTGCAAACTTTTATTTTGCATTGTGAGTCCACTTATGTGCTTTAGTTGAGACAATTCTAAAATTTTCTCAAGAAATAACTAATGTATTTTATCATTGTGTAGTCAATAAATTCCAGTTTTACCCAAAATGCATGAAAACATTACAAGCATTTCTCCAGCAGGAGGATGTATTCATCATGCTTTGACTTGTGTTCCTCACCTTGCTGTTGAATCGGGTTTAGTAGTTGTTTCCAGAGCTTTCTGCAGAACCTCACAGGGAGCAGCCCTCTGCCTCCTGTGCCTTATCCTCTGCTGTGAGTGAACCGTTCACCGAACTGAAAGAAGTCCTGCTCAACATGCAGAAAGCACACTGTATCTGCAGAAGGGTCTGCTGCTCAATTCAACTTGGCAACAAACTAGAGTTGGGCATCTAGTAAGAATTTCTGTGCTTTGGCAGAAAATTGCTGAAGGGCTTAAGTTAATGTAGGCCTTCATAAATGTAGGCTTCATAATGTAGGCTGAGTTTAAACAGTTTCATTTTAAGATTAAATAAGTATTATCTGTCCAAATTGGAGGTTGAGGCTAGATCTGGGGGTCTGCGCACTCAGCATGGTGCAACTGTGCTGGGACTTAGGCACGATTAAGCCGAAAGATTTCTATGGGCAAAATAAACTGGGTGTCTTGCATCCAACTACAGGACTCCACATAAATGAAGAGATTCCTCCAAGAGATTCATAACCTTCTTGTAAAGATCTTCTAAACTATAATCCAAGACAGCAGATCATTGGGAGGGTTCTTCATTTGTTCCTATATTTAATCTTTGATGCAAGTTGAGAACAAGTCTTTTTTCATATTTACAGATACCAGCTTCTGACCATGTCAGCAGAGTTCCAGGATGCTCACCTTGCAGAGGTGAAACCTCTTGTAGAGAAGGAGGAGGTAAGTTTTAAAAGCTTTTTAGAGCTCAGCTGTTGTATTTCAGTGTTATTGTTGGAACTGCACTGATTCTTAGATTAATTCTAGCAAATCATGTGTGAGAAAATGGAGATATCAGGAGGGCAATTTCTTCTATTTGAAAATAAGGCAAAACTGAGCCTTAATTATTGCTCTCTTTGTCTTTGGTGTTGCTTTTCTCTGAGTGCTCACCTGGTTGTGACTTTTTTCCTTTTTTAAATAATGTCAGTTCTGGGTGTCTCTAGCTATTTTGGATGGCACCAGTTGGGCTCTCCCATGTAGATCCATCTATATCTGTAGGCTAATAAATGTAGGGATACAAACTTTGCTCTATCAGTACCTTTAAAGGAGGCACAGCTATGCAGAGAGACTTTACTTCTCTGGGCACATCTCTGTGCTGAGGTCTGACTGTGCCCCATCCCGTCTCCTCAGGCTGCACTGAGCTCTGTGTTGCTGCAGCCAAACTGTTCTCAGGTTTGTGGCCAGCCGTATGTACACAAGCCATAGGCATACCTCGTGGGCTGCAGCATATCTTCAGCCTTTTTAAACTGTGCTGTTTCTTTATTTTTTGCGGTGTTTTTTTCTTTTTTGTTTTTTTCTCCACTATTTTTCAGCAATTCTCTGCCCATGGTGTCTGACCTCAGTGGCTGTCTGACCTTATTCTAAGATAATAATGCTCTGTGCTTCAGTATGTCCATGGCAAATACTTAACTGTAACACATAAATGAACCTGTCAGCTTTTCTCTTGAATCAAAAAGATTTTTCTTCTGTTCACAATGATTGTAATTCTTGACAATAATAAATCTTTCTTCTTTTCCCCCTCTGGTTTTCTCTACTAGAACTATTCACTGCTCTGTCTGCTACTTTCTTCTTTATCCCCTACCTCTGTTACATAAACACTTCAGAAAATCATTTCCACTTAAGACTGCAGTGAAATGGCTGGAGAAACTTTAAACACAGTTCTTTTGCCAAGGACATTGCGTGAAAGCAGAGCTTGTTTGGATACCAGTGAAAGCAGCACTAAAACTTTTCAGAAACTAAGATCCCCTTTTTAAGGCCAGTATTGTTCAGTAGTAGCAGAGAGAGGCAGATATTAAGCAGGAATATCATAGTTACCGAAATGTCTTTGCTTCAAAGTTCTTCAAAGAAATGTCTTAATACTGAGGAACTCTTTGGTTTTCTGTAGCATGTAGATGAAAAGTTATATCTTGACAACCAACTCTATATGGTTTTATTCATGATGATATCTTAAGTTTTGTCTCTACACAGAAACTAGCACACAGTTACGCTACATTAATTTCCTGTGTGATCATTCTTAACATGGAGTAAATGAGCCTATTTAATGTATTTTGAGAAAGTGAAAAAGTGATTGCCCTGAAAGACACTCAGGACATAGCAAAACTAATGCAAGGGGTTGGCGTTGAGTGGGCAATGCAACCTGAAGTCATGTCTTGGCTTATTGTGCACAAGTTTTCTAGTATTCGTGAGCCTTTGCTTCCAAACAGTGGTGCAAACTTATAGTCATAGGATGTCTAGATAGATGCCATATCCACTTATATTCCTTTCAATTTTAGACCACACTGGAACACCATAATTTAAAAAAAAAAAAATCACACATCTACAGACCAACAATATACTAAGATTAAAACCTAGCAAATTGATCCAGGTTAAAAATGCAGCCTGTACAGAGGGAATTCTCATCTTGTGCTAAGACTGTGCAAACCAACTTCCACAAGCTCAGTCACCTCTTTAGATTTTCTGTTTTGATATATAAGTCACTGCCTACTTATCTGAAGATCATGGCTCATAATTGCAAGTTGGACTGCGGTGCTAGGAAGTTCATACGAGACAGTATTGCCCAAGATAGCAGTTGTACTGCTTCTGATGTCTTCTGTCCTTAATTTACCTGGGCTTCTGGGGCTACCTCAGAAGCAGACCTCTTTGCCAAGATCCTCGACTTTATTTTTATCTCTATAACTCTTTCTCAGGCTTTGGCTCCCTGGCTGTACTTTGCAGCCTAACAAGTGTCGGCTTTGCTCTTCTGTCTGTATTTGCCCACCCTAATGGAAATATGAGGTTAACATGTTCCGTGTCTCTTAATAGCTGGAGGTGCCTTTAAGGCGTTTCTCCCTTTGAGGTTGTAAAGTATCTCAGACTGTCAGAGATGTGGATTCCTTTCCTGATGGAGATACCAGACAGTCGTAGGAGTCTGTCAATAACAGTGATGGCCAGTCACAGGCTGGAATGGACCTCTCTGTCTCTGGCCAGCTTCCCAAAGGTAACAAAGCCTGTTTTTGCCCAAGATAAAATCCTTCCTACCTTCCACATTGTATAACCGAACTCCAGTAACAGCTGCGTGAGTGAGTTTCAAGTGCCCAGTGCATGCTCTGACAAAGAGACCTTCCATCCTGGGAAGGACTGAAGTGGGCTGTTGGCTGTCTTGTGGCTGGAGTGAGCAATGGAAAAAAGTTCAGTGCTTTACTGTTCCGACTTGTCCAGGGACTTTAGCAATAACTTAAGGTGTACTGGGTTTTGTGCCTTATTTTGTCGGTCTGTAAGCCAGTATTTTACTGTTTTGACATTTGCTATGAAGATGAATGGGTAAAAGCTCTAGGGTGAATTTTTATATTTGGCAAGAGCTATTCCTTAAATGAAGTGGATGGGACAGAGCTTGTGGCTGCAAAGTTTGTGGCTTAGAGCACACAAGTCCGAATGCTTATGTAAAAGCAGATTTCTGTAGCTGCAAAAGTTACCTGCATTAATGTCTTCAAATCTCTTCACAGGCTATCACTCGCCTCCTTCCCGACTTTGATGTTCAGGCAAGTAAAGCTCCTCTTTTTTTCCTTTGGGTAAAAGAGAAACTGAATTGATATTAAAAAAAGTGATTAGAAATGACTGACTACTTGTCAGAAATACTGTTATTGTGGGACAGGACTCTGAACGGGGTTCTTGCATAACGATGTGAAGAGGACTGCAGGAGGCCTTTTCAAATTGAAGCTGAGAAAGTTTCAACGAAAAGAGGTGAATGGATTGCAGGCAGCTCTATTCTTGCCGAAAGAGATTCTTCAGCCGTGTTAGTGAAAGCAAAATATCCCTCTCCTTCCCCCATCCCGTGTGCACACATATGCGCACTTTCCCCAATTAATTTTCTTTCATTAGTGGTGGGCGTGCATTTCCTCTGAGGAAATGTCCCACTTAATGTATCCCATTAAATTTCCCAACGAACGCTGAAGCCTGTGGAGCGGCGGAGACGCTAAGCAATCAGTTTTGTCCACGGTAGTAGCTTCCGTATGTTTATTCCCAGCCAGAACATTAGTTCATAAAATCTATAGCTGGGTCAAATGATGGTGTGTCCCACTTTCCCCATTTGTCATGTTTTGGAGAGCTGGCTTCATAAGTCTTTTAGCTCCCTTTTTACATTTTCTCTGTTGCGCTTTTGGCTGAGAAGTTTGTTTTTTCTGGTTCTTAAGATGCAACTCAGGCAACACACTGCGCTCTGAGCCAGGCTGAACTGAATTTGGAGAGAGAGCAGCTAGCTTACACCTGCCTCAACAAAAAGTGCATAGTCAAATCCCTTCACTGAGGATAGGATATATGCGTTAGGGAAAAGAGGGAGTATAAAGGGGGAGGTAAAGTTTGCAGGAATACGGGAAGCTATTACATTTTTCTTAGCTCTTGTATCTGCAGATGGATGTACTTGAAGAAAATAGCCTTTTTGTAAATTGTGAAAAGTTGAACTTTGAGCCTTGATGCATTTTTGATTCAGTGCTGTGCAAGTTGTTGATAAAATAGTATAAATTAAGCATGCTTTTTGTTGGAAAATAGAGGGGACTGTTATTTCAGACAGCAATGTTTTGGATTAACTGTCTCTAATCCAGAGCAGTGGTTCTTGTCATTTAGCCTTATTTTACCAGCTCTTTTCTTTAAATGATCTTCCTTCTTAGAATCTAATCTTTAGTAGTTCTAGTTCAAGATGGAAAAATGTGGAAAAATAGTCTCAACCTGTTAAGTTAAGAACTACCACTGGAAAGGAGATAGGCTCATCTTTGGTGCTTAAAACCACACATAACCTCCCTATGCGTCTTTAAGTTCTTCTGCAGTTGATTGATAAGGAATATGACTTGAAGCTGTTGTGAGAGCCTCTGTTGTTGTGGAAGTTCACACGTGGCTCTGAAGGTCCTTGTAGGTGAAGCTCATGTGTGCATTTAATAAGCAGTCTGACCCATGTGCCACCCACTTGAGAGGGGGAAGAACCTGGCTGGGAAAGTAGGTGCTCGGCGTTTGGGAGGATGGAGCTGTTTTAGTGTCTCTGTATGGATGTGGATGTCCACTATATCACTTGCAACTTCCTTGGTCCTTTCTGGAGACAAGTTAGGCAGCACTGAGTTAATAGCTTTGTTTGTGCCACTGATGAAGATTAAGGACTGCCTCTGAGGTGCTTCAGTTCCAAGAATGACCTTTATCTTATCTATCTGAATGACCTATTCAGTTTGTGGAAGAAATACTCTTATTTCACACGCTATTTTAGATAGACTAGAGTGAAATAGTACACTTTTTCCCCAGTTTTTGTTTTAAATCATCCACTGGATAGCATGTTCTCCTCCTCCTGGAAGTTCACACTGCAAGACACAGTTATGACTATTCTCTATGGGAAAACTTTCAGGGAGTTATTAGAGGGTGGTCAAAACAAATGATGAGTGGAAGAACTGACAGCTCTCAGCTTCCTCCTATTAGTGCTGTAGCTCTGGATCTGTGGCACCTTCCTGAAAATATTTAAGTGAATATTCAGGTATGAAGTTACCCTGCCTCCCAATAAGGGGAATATTCCTGCCTAAACATACCTGCCTTAGCTCACTTAATGATAAACCACTGCAGGATGGCATGCCCTGTCTTACTTGATACTGGCTGGATGGAAACACTTTAGTATTTGCAGTTTAATATATTTGTCAGTTCTCTAACTAGGTAATATTGGAGTGAATGTGTATATTTGTCCTTAACTTTGTATTTCAGAAGTGAGCAGAGCATGAGACCACTTTCTCCGTAGCAAGGCAAAGCTTTTCAAGCCATGTGGCAGCTGTAGGTGGCAGAGTTGAGTTGATCTCCTGCAACACGGGGTGATTGGCCATCTGCAGCCACCAGCCTGCCAGTGCCACCTCTGCCTATGCCTTGCTGCTCCTCCTGCCTTCAAGGGGGGCAAGAGTGAGCCACTTTGCAAGGGGAGACAACTCAGCCTTTCCTCAAGGTGTGACTGGGCAGGTGGGTTTCCTGCTGGCATCAGGGGCTTGGCTGTGTCTTCACTGCTCGTTCCCACAGTAAAATCTAAGATGAATTGAATGAACCATTTTATGGTAGAAAAAGCTAGGGGAGATAATGTTAAATGACTTAAGGGTAAGCAGGATTTGGTACCCACCATTGTAGTGTTATATTGAAAGCTCAAATGTATTTGATCTTCAAGATATTGAGAAAAAAGAAATGAAAAACAGCATAAGTGGGTAGTTAGTAAATTAAATTGCTGGTTTGAGTTTAGCCAAAGTATTCAAAGTTATATGAACTTTAAATACACTGTCTCCTAGCAATTTTTTAAAAAAGAGCTCTGCTTTTCCCTCAGTTCTGTGCAAGAGAAGGGAATATAACAGGCATATTATAAATTAAAATAAAAACATGAGATGGACTTCGAGGATTAAATCTACTTGAAAGCTTTAAAATAAGCTTGATGGAATGCAGAGTTTTGAGTTAAATATAAAATATGGAGTATTTAGCAAAATGAGTAATACATATATATGTATATAAAATGTCTAAAATGTTTTGGTTGCATAGCCTGTATTCAAGAAAACAAATAACAAACTGTTCATAAAGATATCCCACAAGTCATATTTTCCTTAGACATGGTAGAGGGGAGAGAATAAATGAGCTCTCCTGCGGTATTATTTACAGATTGCCTCACCCTTCTAATCTCATGATAAAACGATAAAAAATTTCACTTGACCAAAAAACAAACTACTTTAAAAGGGATCAGCTCCTTTCTGACTAAGATAGCCTCTCTCAAACTGCGTGTATCAAAAGCAGTTTTATGTGTGTTTTTAGGCCACTAAGAAAAGATTGTACCTCTCAGTGAGAGACCTGAACAGATGGCGAGTTTGCCTTTATCCTTCTATCGGATTAGTGTATCTTGGACTTTTTTCTAAGATAGTGTTTTAATACAAATCAGTTGGTGAAGAGCCTCTTACTGTAACGTTGATGTTGATTGGTATGTGCTGCCATCTGTTTTCGGTGCTCTACATTTTGAAAACAGTCGTCCGCACATCACGTAGCCAAATCTCTTGATCTTTGATAGGATCAATAGAGACGTGAAGCAGTTGGTTTGACATCACTAAAGAAACTGGCTTGAATTGGTAGTTTTTTTTAGAAGAACCTTCTCTGTATTTGTAGTTAAGCATTTACGCTAATGGAAAATAGCCTAACCCACTTGAATTACGTGAGTCTCATTGTGAAAATGATGAAAAATTAAACCAACTGTTAAACGGACTGTTATTTATACCAGTTATTAGTTCAGAGACACTCCTTTTTTAGTTGATACTGAGTATGAACTAGACTCAGGCTTCTAGTTCCAGAAAAATTAGCTCTGGAGGTCAATGGGCTGCATAGGTTCAAGTGTGTGGCTTGGTCTTATCTGAACACATTTCATTTTTTTATGCATGAAGGAATTCACCTTTCAATCTTGAAAGGTGATTTCTTTTAAGAAAAAGTATTCTAGTTTCCTTAGGGCTGTTACAGAAAAGTTCTGTCATCCACAGCAGCAGAAGTGTGATGATACAAGAGGCTTATCAGTCTTGAAGTAAAGAGGAAATCATTTCTATAGTCAACACTTACCAAGAGAAATGTTATTCGATACAAATTGCTTTCATTATTGCTGTTGAGGTTTGCCAACCTATTGATGCTGCTCTTATGCCTTGTATGGAAAATTGTGTAAATACAGAATGAACATATGATGTAAAGAACATTAGTTATTTTGGAACTATTGTAAATCTCTTTCAGTGTATTTTGTAACTAATATTCCTATAATAGCTCAATGCCTGCCAGAAATTAAACCTATAGTAACATCAGTATGACTGAGGCAGGAAGACTTTAGGCTAAAAGCTGATTTTATTTACTGTGGAATCTGCTAAAGTAGAGTTCAAGCGAAGTGGTGTTGCTGTTGTGTAGAACTCAAACTAATTTGTCAAAGTCTTCTCTGTTCTTATTGGAATCTTTACTCCCGGCTTTTAGAAATGAACTTGCTTCTGATTTTATTTAGAATCGTTTTTGGATGTTCTAGCATTTGTGATAGCAAGACTTGAAATTAAGCTAAACTTACCAAAACGTGATGGGCACAGGAACAGGAAAACCTGTGCCAATAACTAATTCCCAGGTTTGAAAGCTGGCACTTCCTACATTGTGTGGCAGAGACTTAGTTCATCTCTGATGTCTGAGCTCTGTTAAATAAGCACTTCTCCTGGTCAAACCTGACTCAAATCCTATTTAAGAATGACGTCCTGAATTAGTCTGGTCTGATTTTTTGAGCTAGGCATTATGGGAGTCATAAGCCTACGCGGAACAGCAGCTTGTCTATATAACCCAGTCTTCTACTTGGGCAAAGCAGAAAACCTGCTACTTGCTCCTCTGGCTGACTTGCTGGATTTATCACACTGTTTTGCCTAAAGATGGTGTTGGATATGGAAGATACAGCTTACCTGTTAAGCAATGCAGTAAGTATGCAGAGGACTGAATCTCTGAAGAGATTTAAGAACTAAATATTACTGTTTCGGCATAGTAGAGTTCAGATAACGCTACTCAAACATGCCTGGTGTTGGGGTGGGTAGGAGAATCTTGATTCTTGGGTGTGATCGTACCTTAAAATAGATGTAAATGTGTGGCTGCAGGGAAAATAGGTGCATTGTGGAATGGTGTTGCCTAACATCCATATTTTCAAAAATGAGTGGTGTACTTTAAGTATCAAATCACTGAGCTGAGAGATGGATCGAGTTAATACTTTACTTCAGAGCTCACAAGGCCTTCTGGCTTTTCTCTGTAAAGGTATTCAGTTGTATGCTCACAGTTTCTGCAGAATAATGTGTAAGAGATTTGGAGTTAACCTAGACTTTGCCTCTGGGTATTACTGCACGAAGTGAGTCAGGAAAGCCTGGCAACGGCAGACAGTGTGCTGTACTTAATGACATGCATGGAAATTAAATATTCTCATGAAGCGCCAAGATTGGTGCTTAACTCTATACTCTGACTTTTGTGTTGACCCTGCGTGAATGTAACAGTAAGGTAGATAAGTGTCAAACAGCTGTTGCGTTGTCGTTCCCTTTACAGCTGTGGCAATCCAGCAGGTTGCTTATACCCACCTTAAGTTACAAATGCAAAAGAAATGAGAACTGTTCCGTATGTCCTGGATGTTAGTACGACCTGAATTCATGTTTGACTTGCTCAAACATCTAACAGATAAGACTGGTTGGGGGTCTTGATTGAGCAGTGCAGGTGTTCTTACTTTTACGTTCATTAAATAGCACAAACTCCGGTTACGTCAAGTGATAGCTGTAGGGTTTTTATGTTGTTTCTCTCGGTCATCGCAACAATGTTGTGATCATACTACTCCTTTGCACTTGCCTATGCAGAGTAGCAGTCAAAAGCCAACGTGATGCAGCTGTCTTTTATCCATCAGGGAAGGCTTCAATAATCACAAGACCCCGCAGTGCGATAACTCTTTTTGATGAATATAGGCTAGTTAATAGTGGTTTCTTTAGGGGAGTAGTAGTTATTTGCTGAGTTAAAGGCTTTTTACTGAAAAACTGAAGCCTTTTCTTTTTGACAAGCAACTAGTACCTTGGCAGATGCCACATGTCATAGTTGTCAGCTGTCCCTGTTTTAGGAATTAATGCACAGAGCTGCTCGCTCTTACTCTCTGACTTTTACCAAGGTTTAAAACTATTTCTTCTGCATCCGGTTAGAGATCGCAGCTTAAATGCTTTTGTAGTTGTCAGTGGATTGGAGTAGATGACGGCCGTATGTAAAATGCTTCCCAGGGCAGTTTGATGTTGGCATTGTGGAGAAATAAAAAAGCATTGGACATCAGGGTGGGGAGGGTATAGAGGAAGGGGTAAAGAGCACCCACACCGTGGCAGGGAAGGAGGCACGTTCAGAGAGGGATTGCAGAGGTCCCTGGGGCTGCAAGAAGATGCTGGGCTGACAGCAGCTGGGAGGGTGGCACCATGGGGACAGCTGGGAGGGGACAGGAGTGAGCAATGCCCTGAGCTGAGCTCTTTGTGATCCTCCAATTTCACTTGCTCAGACCCTCCGGTACATCTTGAAACACCCCAGCACTGCACTACCCAGCAGAAAGCCTATCCAAACTGCTGCAGCAGCCAGATGTTTTCCGAATTTATTTTTTTCTCCTTTGAACTGTGCTCCAATACTCACTGTTAGCAACAGGAAAGATAAAAGGTCTGCTGCAGTGGGTGCTGAGCTGAGCACTTGTGCCAGAAGCTGACAGCAGGTTCCTCTTATTTTCTCAGGAGCAAGATGTGGAAACCGTGCATGGCTCCGTCCATGTCACTATGTGTGGGACTCCCAAAGGGAACAGACCTGCTATCCTCACATACCATGATATTGGGCTGAATCGTAAGTAGACCTTTATCTAGGTCTGTATTGATTTTCATTTTATTCGGGTATTTATAACCAGGTACTACTGCTGTAATCAAAGGTATGGAAACAACTGCAGTTAAAAAGCCTTTCCCAGATGGTTGCTCATGTATGCGCACTGCAACCTATCAGATAGTACTGTTCTTTCTATGGAACTGTGCCTAACCTGATCCTCCTTTTGGAGGAGGTTGAATTCTCAGATTTTTTTTTATCCCTCCAAAGCAACTAATTAGAGTTGCTACAACTTACAAATGCAAAGGGATCCCTGGTAGTCTTTAGTGACCTTTTAAAAATACTGTCAAAAAACCTGTAGGAAGTGGTTGAGGCTGTTTCCCGCAGGACTGAACATGCTGTTGGTGCTTGACTTGTAGTTCTCTGATAACTGACCTTGTGCTGCCAGGTGTCAGTCTCATGCAGATCCGAATGACTAAATGAATGCTGGCATTGTGTCCTCAGCCACTATTAAGAAAAATGTTGATAAGCAATTATCTGTGTTATCCAAGAAAGTAAAGACCAAATATCCAGATCTACTCTAATTTGTCTGTTTCACCGGTACTGTTTGCTTCACACAACTTACTGTTCCTAAATTATTAACACTTATATTTAAAAACAGTTGCAGATCTCTGAAGTCTGGTTATTGGGGAGAAAAAATATTATTTATAAGATAGAATCTGTTTTCTTGCCCATTTTTAGTGGAACTGCTTTACTTTATTTTGGATTATCAGTGGATTAGAGCAGGGTTTAATCCAGGCCTAATCTTTGATTAAGACTTTTTTCTTTCTAGAGATACAAAGCTTGTCTTTATCGTGAATACAAGTTTTTCCTCTTTAAAATGGGAAGAAGCTTCATCTCTAACTTGCACGTTCTTAGTGCTGGGTTTTAGCTAAAAATGTTTTATATTCCCTAACTATTTTCTTGTGCGTTGTATAGCATGAGGCTATTGAATCTTGAACAGTTTTTTAGGCCTCTCAAAGTGCTACAGAATCCACTCTAGGAGGAAAATATGCTAACCTTCTCCCCAAGGTAATATTCCTTAAACATCAGAAATCTAACCATCTCAAAATTTTGGGCCTCAAGTCTTAAGTATCACAGTTTGACATCTTTGTCTTGAGCTGCCTGAGGCAGCTGCTAATGTAATATTCCTTTCATAATATTTGGGCAAAAGGACAAGTATCCATCTCAGAGCTGAATACTTTTTCCTCCATCTGTTTTGACATAATCCAAAGAAAAATGACTAGATGAGTCAATAGAAAATTTTACCCAAGCCAAAACCTGGGGTGAGTACTCCTGATGGGACTTCATTACTGTTTTAACTTTGCACAAAGAAGAATTCCTTGAGACTTTGGTGTAGCATGTAAATAGTTCCGGGAAGTGCGAGAGTAATTAATAACTAAATGTTAGCCGGCCGTGAGGATATAGCTGTTCAGGTTTCTGCTTCAAAGAATAAAGTCCATTCTCACTGACTGCTTTGTAGCAGGATTTTACTGGTCTTACGCCCTTAAAAATAAAGCATAGTCACTTTTTCCAGGCTGTAACATAGCTCAACTGGTTGAACTGACGACTTATTGAACCTGCAGGCCAGGTTTCAGCAGAAGTAACATTATGGACATGAATGATTTTATTATTGCTGCCAACTTATGACTGAACAAATAATTTCCTCTCACCTTAACTGTTCCTTTTTTTTTTCTTTTCCTTTTCAAGATAAAACTTGCTTCAATCCTCTCTTCAACTTCGAGGATATGCAGGAGATCACCCAGCACTTTGCAGTTTGCCATGTGGATGCGCCTGGTCAGCAGGACGGAGCAGCATCCTTCCCAGCTGGGTGAGTTGTCAGGGAAACGGCCTCTGCTTTCACAGCTCTCCTGTTTCTGTGGTTGGGAGAAGAGTCTTGATCTGCAGTTTAATTAAAAAGCACTTGCAAGAAAACACAAGTTGGCTTCTGAACTTAAATCCTGAGACTCTGCATTTCTTAGTTACTGGAGCCCTGTTGTGTTTTGGCAGTTCACAGTAGACTTTGGGGCTATAATTTCATTTTTAATCTCTAGCTAGACTGCTTGAAAAGCAATTCCTTGACAGGTGCCTACATCTGTTGATTTAAAAAACGTCACCTAGTTTTAATGACTTATTTCTGCATGCGAATACAGAATTAAATTGATAAAATAAGCAAGACAGGCATTAGCCACTACATCGTGTCTTTTGCAAGTCAGTGATTTTTATGAAATGGCAGCATGGAAGATGTTGAGGAATAAACTTAATAAGCTACCTGGGAAGTCCAAGTTGTCTAATCGTAACAAAGTGATGTTCCTCCATATAATATCATAAATAGATATATGCTCCTGCATATACATAATGTATGATGCTACATCTTAGAAATTTGTGTGCCATGACCATGGTCCTGGCCAAAATGCTTGCCTCATTTAGTCAAATGAGACAGGTTTGCTGTAAGATGTCCCTTGGATAGGATCACCTTCCCTGAGGAAGGAAGCAGCCGATGAGCCAAGGGAAGGAACAGTTGTTCTGTAAGAACAAGGTATTAAGGAGCTTATATGTGCTCTTATTGCATGAGCCAGTCTATTTCCCTTCTTAATTTTTAAGCTGCTCTGACACTGCAGAGGTCACCATGGGCCAGGTTCTCGGCTCGTGTTAACAAGAGTGGCCCAGTTTTCTACCAGTGTGTCAGACAAAGCTATTTCAGTCACTCCCCCTTGTATTTGTTCGAATTAAAAGTTTTTAAATGTCTTAACACCTGCTCAGGATATGAGGGCTGATGCGATGTCAGCTGTACTGGGCAACTATCATGGTCTATGCTAGTAAGATCCACAACTTAATGGCATCATGATGGCAGCATGAGAAGTAGTGCGGTCTCTGAGCCCCAGCTGAGACGCTTGTGCTAAAAGTGTGGCTGGCGCAGTTCACTGCTCCCTGTGCTTTTGTCATGGCAAAGTTTAGTTTTCCAACAACAAAAACTAAGAAAATTTAAAATAGGTGAACGTTGTTTTTTGGAAACTGTACAGAGAATCTTTAGGTGTAGTGTACTTCTGATGTCCCTTTTCCCTCAGATGTACCTCTTTTTCTCTTTGAGGATTGTCAGAAATAGTAGAAAATCAATCCTACACAAGATTGAAAAACAGAGATGCTTGTGAAGCTGACATTTCTTGACGCTCTTGTTTAGCCACCGTTTCGGTTCCCCATAACAAATTGACTCCAAAGCTTGGCTTCTCAGAGTTGATTTCTTGTCTAAACTGCCAGTTTTTTGCTCAAAACTAGAATGTTGTGAAAATACTTGCCAATGATGAGTGTAAGGCTAGTGGCTAAGATGTTTACGTAGGTGTAGGCAAGGACAGCTTTTATCCAAGTCCCAAATCTGTTTCACATTAGATACCTCCTAAACAGATGTTCTCCAACTATTTCAGGGTATTCCCCCCGCCCCATCCTGCTCCACTGGGATTTTGTTCAAAATTTCCTCCCCTCAAAATTTTCTGTTCTGCGGAAGAGCAGCAGCATTGATTAACAGCTGTTTTTTAGAACTTCAGCAGCTTCATAGCCCTCCCTATGGCTTCATTTGGCTTTCTCTATCAATACTAATGGAAAGTTATCCTCATTTTGTAGCTGTGGGACCTTGTCTGTCCCTGAAAACATGCACAAAAATTATTTACTAGATCTAGATTATTTACTAGATCTAGATCTTTGCTGAAGTTTATCATTCTGCAATGTGGTTAAACTTTTTTCTGCGGTGGACCAGAAGTACGAATGTGGTGCATGTGGCTGGGAACTCTCCTTTGAGGTTCAAACTTGTTCATAAGTGATGAAGGGCTAACTTTTCTTATAAGAAGTTCAATATAGTTTGTTTAGCTCCCAGCTAGAAGAGACATCTGCCATTCTGTAACGCACATAAAGTACCATATGGAATACGGTCATATTTCTGCTAAATTATTAATTACTACTTGCTCCTGATTTGAATCCAGTTCATACTGTCACTGATCTGGCAAGAAGCACATCTGATATTAAAATGCAGGGGTAAGCACTGTGTCCCTAAATGTGCCAGTCTACTGAAAATATTATAGTAAACTCCACAAATACGTATTTGTTGTAGGTATGTATATCCCTCCATGGATCAACTGGCTGAAATGATTCCTGGAATCCTGAAACAGTTTGGGTGAGTGCAGAATTCTTATTTTCCTCATGCTTGTCTTGAGTTAGTTGTTTTAAAACTGTATGGCGTAGTGAAGAAGATCAGGGAAGAGCAGGTATGTGTGTGCTGTTCTTGCAGCCTTGGTCTGACTATCTGGCATTTTGTTTGATAGAGTTAGTTACTCTTGTTTTTCAGCTCCTCCCTTATGGTTGGGTAGCTTTTGCCTTTGTTTCCAGCAGAGCTTAATTTTTTTTGGCTTTGAGATGTCTGTTTATTTTTAAACAGGAAGCAACTTAGGATGAAATCCCGTGTGTCTAATTTAGGGGCTTCCTTCAGCATTTTCTATGTGTAGTCCTGACAGGGTCAGGGCACAGGCAATCTGTTCTTCCCACTATAGCAGCCTGCGTTTTCTTGTTCAGTCAGCACAGAAAAGTAGTCCCATCTGAAGATGCTTTCTGGGTCTTGAGTGTCCTCAGAGGTCAGTCCTGCCTCCGGAAGCAGAGGGACCCAACAGCAGATGCCTGACTGTGGTCTGCCCTGGTGTTGAAGGTGGCAGGTTCATGACAAGTTTAGGTCTGTCCTACTTTAAAGCTTAGCTTGAGTAGGAGCTATAGGTGAGAAAGGTTCCTGTCTCCCCCAGAATAAGTGCTCCTGATAGGCATTACTGCCTACAGATAGGCACCCAAGGAGTTTTCAGACTAAGCAGAGAAAACCTGCCATTCAAGGTGAGGCAGCCCTGGAAAATAGACGGAGTTATTGGCTGGAGTTTTAGTCTCGGAATAGCATCCCGGTTCAGGCCAAACTTAGATATACTGTTTCCCACCCCTAAATTATTCGGCATGTAAACTGTTAACAGTACCTTGGACTGATTTACCTCTCTGATCTCACTACCTTCTTAAAATAGACTCTTTTTTTTGAAATGCTTAATGTAAGGCACAATATTACCAATTCTTTTCTTGCTCAGAAAAAAAAAAGGTTGACATAGTTTCAATCCCTTGAAAATCAGTTTAACTGGAGTGGATTTACAAAACCCAGATTTAATGCTGCTAATGAGTGAAATCTATCTGCAGATATTTTCCTAAAAGTGTTGTATAACCTGTTTTTCTAAGTGGTTTTGTCTAGTCTTCCATTTATTTTCTAAGGCCTTGAAGCTGATGCTTTAAAACCAATTTCAGTTAATGCAAATATTTGATTAGTCTCTGCCCTGTTTAGTTATGAAGTTTAAACCCGATCAGCTCAGTGGCTGGAGAGGGCAAGAGGTTTCCATGCCAGCTCTTCCCGTTAAGAGAGGGACTGGTGACAGAGTTTGATAGCTGCACCGTGGAGGGTAAGGGCAGGCTGGGGACAGGGGGCTTTGTATTTACAGTAGAGATTTCACGAGTCTCTTATGCATTTTCCTGGCACACAGCAGCCTTTTCCTTCTAGTTAGAGTTGTTCAGTGTATATAGG